GTTTCCAAGGAGCTGCTGGTGAGTTTGAACCACCAACCTTGCAGTTCAAAAGGCTTTGCAGTCTGGCGCATTAACCCACAGCACCACACCAGGACATATATATATAGTGGCTTGCAATTGCAGAGTCCCAGGTCCCCAACAGAAGACAGAACAAGAGTCTACTGTGTGCCCATTATATTGGGAGCAGGGCACACCCCCAAAGAAGCATCCCTTTAATTGACTGACTGCTCATAACCAATCATCATAGTGTTAACTATGGCTGTATCAGGTTTCACCACCATGGTAATAAGCACATTTCAACTACTAAACCTCTAGAAATCCTGGCCTAGTCAAGTTGGCACAGAACCCTAATCATTACAAACATCCTTGTCTGAATCTAACTTGAACCTCTGGGCAGTTCCCTGTCAATGTATTGTTGCAGTCATTTTTAAATAATCTATAGCAACAACTTTACTTGTATGTGATATTAATATTGTTTGATGATTTCCATATTCCATTGGGTGACCTCTTTTTGGAATGGGTAGAAATATGGATTTCTTCCAATCAGTTGGCCAGGTGACTATCTTCAAAATTTCTTGGCATAGATGAGCGAGTGCCTTCAGTTCCGCATCAGTTTGTTAAAAGATTTCAATTTGAATTCCATCAATTTCTGAAGCTGTGTTCAGTGCACCTTGTACTCCTTCCTTCACAACATTAACCATTTCTTTTTGGTATACAGTGATTCTGTATATTTCTTCCATCTTCTTTTGATGCTTTCTGAATCATCCAATAGAATGAATCCATAGAATCTTTCAATATTGCCAGTTGAGGCTTGAATGTTTCCTTCAGTTCTTTCAGCTTGAGTTGGTTCCGACTCATAGTGACCCTATGCTGAGCTTGTTTATCCATTTTGGTTTTCTCACTCCAGGTCTTTGCACATGTCATTATAATACTTGACTTTGTCTTCTCAAGCTGTCCCTTTGAAATGTTTTGTTTAGCAATTTTGCCTCTTCCTTTCTTCCATTTGTTTTAACATCTCTATGATGGAGAGCAAGTTTCAGAGTCTCTTTTGAATTATATGTATAATGTAATATTAAATTTAAAAACCTGGTTATTAACCAGCATACATAATTGAATACCTTTTTGTTGTAAAAATTTGTGTGCACTAAAAAAACATGAGTTGATATAACATCAAAATATTAATGATGTTTTTCTCTAAATTGTAGGACTATAAGGGATTTATATTCTTTAGACTCACTAGTAGTTTCATTTTCTTATTTATCTGTTAAAAAAGGACTCTCGTGGTTCCAATGAGTCAGAATTTCAATGAGTCAGCTTGGTTTTAGTGGGAGTTCTCTTTACCCCTTAGAAAATGTATCTGACTCTACCAGAAGATTCTTGATTTCCATCTGACAGGACCATTCTTTCAACAACTTGCCACACACCCTTTGCTTATCCCTATTATTTTTTAAAAGAAAGGAAGGAAGGAGAAATACAAAGAAAGGAATGGGAAAAGGAGAGAAGAAAGAAAAGAAAAAGTATTTTTTTTTCAATTAGTGTATTCAAACAAGAAACTCCTACTTTTTTGGTACTCTTAAATTAATATAACTGTTGTTGTTAAGTGCCATTGAGTCGGTATTGACTCATAGAGACCCTGTATAGGGTTTCTGAGGAGTGGCTGGTGAGTTTGAACTGTCAACCTTGTGTTTCAGACTGACCTTGTGCTCCTGTGCATTGTATATAGCTATGTTGTTGTTGTTGTTAAGTACTGTCGAGTCCGCTCTGACAGGAGCAGTTGGTGAGCTTGAACCACTGAACTTGCGGTTCAACGGCATTGCAGTCTGGCACATTAACCCACAGCGCCATACCAGGACTCCATATATTGCTGTAGTTCTTAAAAATAACAATCCAATAACTTTTCTACAGAAGACATTTCATTCCTCAAAAGAACTGGCAGATGAATACTACAAAGAGTCCACACAAAATAACGGTAATAGTAATGCTTGTAAATGGATTAGGAATAACTCACCTCCAATGACTCCAACACACAAGTAAAGTTCCTGAACAGTGTTGCAGAAAGAAGCTGCAATCAAGCCACAGCCCGACAAGCAGCCACCAGCAATCATGACTGGACGGCTGCCATATTTATTCACCAGGATGCTGCTGATAGGACCTAGGAGAGAACCAACCACTTAGTAATATCAAAAAGAAGCCAACTCCCTCACTTCCACATTCATACATATCATAAACAGACATAAAGGGTACCATGACAGAATATTCCCCTGCTTAAATAAACAGAAGGCCCATGCCACTCAATTCTGCCACTAAATATTTATGGGAATAGACAGCCTCATCTTTCTCACATGGAGTGGTTAGTGGGTTTGAACCACTGACCAGGTGGTTAGCAACCAAACATCTAACCCACAACACCACCAGGAAACAGAAGGTTGTGGTAAGGAATACCACTTTTCTTTCATTCCAGAATCATGCTGCTGCTTTATGCCATCGGGTTGTTTCTTACTGATAATAATCCTTTATAGGGTTTCCTAGGCTATAGATTTTCATGGGAGCAGAAAGCCACATCGTTCTCTTGTGGAGAGGCTGGTGGGTTTGAACTGCTGACCTTATGGTTAGCAGCCCAATGTGTAACTCACTATGCTACCAGATCTAGGTTTATGTAATGTGGGATGGGAGAGGCACATTGATTGTGCATCTTCTATATATCCTAGAAAATATTGGATAGATTTTCACTAAAGGATAAGAGACCTTGTTGTTGTTAAGACCTTATTGTTAACAGTCCAGTTCAGTGCTTATCCCACAGCACCACCCCAGGACTCCATAAGAGAAAAAATAGCCTATCTCTTTTAAAGTAGAATTGACTGAAAATACCCTCATTATAAGTGATTGCAGAATCGTTAATACATGTCTGTCAATTTTCCATCAGATGTCAGATCAAGTTTTCTCTATTTCTAACTTTTTAGACAGGCATCTGGAGCAAAGACACATGGAAATGATGAGATACATGAACAAATTTGATCCAACTTCTAAATTTAAGCATATTGACACACTAGCTATGTGTATTTTCATATAAAACAATAATAGGTCTTCCGATTCAGGGTGGCCTGTGCATCCTGTTGCAACCATTTGGAGTTGTAGTGAGCAGAGAGAGAGAGAGAAACAAGAGACCACTTGCATTACAGAAACCTGCTAGAGTTGCAAAGACATAAGTGTGAGTATTTTTTCTTTCTTTTTCTTTTTCCTCCTCTTCTCTTTCCCTTTCTGCTATATCTCCTCTGGTGACCAAAGGGGTTGTTTTTGTTGTTATGTGCCATGGAGTCGGTTCTGACTCATAGCAACCCTGCATAGGATTTCTGAGGCTGTAAATATTTACAGGAGCAGAAAGCGTCATCTTTCTCCATGGAACAACTGGTAGTTTCGAACTGCTGACGATGAGATTAGCAGCCTGATTCGTAACCACTATACTACCAGAGCTCCTTGAGAGGAGACAAGGACAAATAGACACCATAAGGGAAGATTCTGTGGCACATGGCAAGATTTGCAGCCAGCAACCTGAGGGTACTGTGACCCAAGTGCAGGATTTCGCAGCATGCAAGCAAGGAGGGTTCTGCGGCCTACCTATGGAGGGATCTTGGACCTGCTGTGTTGGGTTCTGCAGCCCATGTGTGAAAGTTTCTGTGGCCCATGTATGGAGGGTTCTGGGGACCCTGTGGAGGGTTCTGTGGTGTGAGGGTTCTGTGGCACTCCTGGACAAGGATTTGAAAGGGGAGGAGACAACAGTAAAAGCCTGAGCCTGAAGTCTCTTCCAAACCAGTTCTGGCCAGTCCTGGGCTGGTTCTTACGAGGAGAAACAGCTGACTGCACTTGAAGGGAGGAAAAACATAAAACATAAAAATAAAAATTTGTGATATTTGTTGTTGTTGTTAGGTGCCATCGAGTCAGTACTGACCCATAGCAACCTTATGCACAGCAGAATGAAACACTGCCTGATCCTGGGCCAACCTCACTACTGTTGCTACGCTTGAGTCCATCAATGCTGCCACCTGGCCAATCCATCTCGTTGGGGGTCTTCCTCTTTTTTTCTGACCCTCCACCTTACCAAACATAATATATTTCTCCAGCGACTGTTCCCTCGAGACAATATGTCCAAAGTATGAGAGATGAAGTTTGGCAATTTTGGTCTCTAAGGAGCACTCTGGCTGCACTTCTTCCAAAACAGATCTATTGGTTCTTTTGGCAGACCATGGCACTTTCAATATTCTCCTCCAACACCACAACTCACAGGCATCAATTCTTCTAGTCTTCCTTATTCACTGTCCAGTTTCACATGCATATGAGGTTATCGAAAACACCATGGCTTGGGTCAGGCACACCTTAGTCCTCAAGGTGACATCTTTGCTCTTCATCTGACATCTTAAAAAGGTCTTGTGCAGCAGGTTTGCTGCTGCTTCCATGAGTGTTGATAGTTGATCCAAGAAGAATGAAGTCCTTGACAACTTCAGTCTTTTCTCTGTTGATAAGAATGTTGTTTATTAGTCTAATGGTGAGGAATTTTGTTTTCTCTACATTGAGATGTAATCCATACTGAAGGCTGTGCTCTTTGATCTTCATCAGTAAATATTTTAAGTCCTCTTCACTTTCAGCA